GGAAAGCGCACAGGTATTATTTTGCCCCGGCTCGCTAGGCGCGCACCCTAACCAACGAGTGACCGTGGGCCCTTGACGTCTTCTACTCTCCCGAAAATAGCAATAACGTGACTTTAAATTTCCTATACTTCCTCGTTGTCACGATAAACTCCAAAAGTTAATGCTGTGTGGTTAGGTTTAAATTTGCTTTTAATTGCTACTTGATATTTTTCACAGAATCTATGATGCTCCTACAGGGCTCGGTCGAGAACTGTTGTTCTGGTGCGTAGTAGTCGGTCGACTTGTTATCCAAATACTCCTCGGATATTTTATCCTTCTTGGCGATAATTCTTACAACGCACTTAAAGAAACACTCTTAAAGAATTCTAAATAATTACGTCATTCTTAAAGTAAAGCACACGCGCTTGCACTCAAATTGTCCGCGAGCAACCTATCATCCTCTTCTGGACACGGATTTCTGTTTGTTCTTGGAACACGTTCCTTGGGATTACGATGTAATGTTTCTAGTACGAGGGTGGAATGTAAACGCGATTTGCTTGTACTTCGGTTACGTTGTCTTTTCATTCTGTTCCTCTTTGACACTGAAGTTAGTTTCTGAAACCAGTCCCCAAACCATTTCAATTTGTGTAGTGTACTAGAAGATCTGTGAATAATAAGTATTTGCCAATCGACAAGTTAAAGAAAATATTATAATGGCCAAGCTTGAACAAAAAAAATACATGGAAAAACTAAGTTGTATGAAATGTTTCAGTGCAAAATGTGTTGGACAAAGACGTATAGTCTTCTGCAAGTAATTTATAAAAACTATATTTCACAAAGACTTTTATTTAGTAGCATCCTGACGCGCATCAGGAAGATTCTTCTGACAATACGAGTGACTGTTCGTCTTCCTCCTTATCTTTAAGCTGTGATTACGGCACAGAGTAAAGACTGTACATTCCCTATGATTCCACTGTAGCTATCAAAGCGCAATCGAGACATTTCCTCTCGAGTAGGCCACCTGTGGACTATTTGAACGGCTACCGCATGTACCATTTTATCTTCCTCACCCGCTACATACTTACGTTGTAAAGAAAAAGTATTGAAACTCTGCAGCGAAAATTGGTAAATTTTCGACAGGAAAAATTTGTACTGTGGCACCTGATATAGAAAAAGTGCATAATAATAGCTAGTTTTAGTCAATTACTTCCACTAAAACGAGTTGCCGAAATACACATATTATGGGCCTTTGATACCGAAATATTGAATTACAGATAAAGGTCTGTCTGTCTGTCTGTCCGTCTGTCCATCTGTGCGTCTGGTCAACACTAACGTCTAACCCCTTCACACGATTTTCGTTGTGTTTGTGTTCTTGTGTGACAATGTTTATTTTCGACGACTGGAGAAGTTGAATCTGCATTCGCCGTCTTCCTACAACTACAGTATTGAAGATATATTCTTTAAAGTTGGATCTTTAAATGATGTCATGTACAATTTTTTTTTAAATGAGTACTTTTCATGTCATTTTTTCTTTATGGAAAAAGCAATGTATAAAAGAATGTGACTTCACTATTAAATTCAAACAGAAATTACACTGAAACTACGAGTTTTGGAAACCTACATGATATTTCTTAAGATCTGATTTTTGAACAGATTTTATTTAAGGAAAAAATCTTTCTCCGGTATTGTACTTTTACAATATTAGTGTTTTGCAATTTTCGAAAATACGGGAAGTTGGCTAAAAATGTGACCAGCACCGTTTTTACCGTCTTTTGATACTTACGAGAAGAAAATTTAAAGAAAAATTGGCGCGATTTTGAAAAAAGTAATATTTGCTAGTATTTCATGTGGAATTATGCCAAAATGTACTAACAATTGTACACGAGTGTAACTTAGTTAAAGGTCTGAACTGAACAGATGGTTTTAATGTTAGTCAGCTCTTAAGTGGTCAATGTAGTCTATTGTGATTCGTATTATAGATCATATTAGTTCCAGGCCAGATACGATGCTGTAGTGACATTTAGAGAAATATGTAGGCATTGCAATAATATATAGATATTGTGGCGTTTGAGATAAATCCGGAAACTCCACAACGCCCACACAGCGCCGGTGATTCAGAGATCACCGGAGCACTGGCGAAATGAATAAATTACTAACGAAACAGCGCTGTTAGTTGCAGCCCGCGGCTCGACGGCGGCGAACTTCCAGCTCATGGAAAAACGAGGAAAGGTTCGTCGTGACGTTACGTTACCTATAAATAGCGGAGCAGCTGACAGATCGGCCCCTTACCTGTACGAGACGCCGAGTGCGGTGAGCGAAGGCCGGTAGTGCGGAGTCGACAACTTGTCATGGGACAGCGATAGTAAGAACTTCTTTCTGAAGCAGATGCCGAGGTAAGAGGTCCAGTGTGCTCAGCCAGAGCGTAGTAATTAGAGAGGGCAGTTTTCTTTTATACGGGACGTCGAAGAGTTCGGACGTGCATAGAGAGATAGATGTGTTGTGAGACGCAATTTTGTAGAAGGTACGGCGCGCAGCAATTGTTCAGCCGAAAGAATAGTGTGATAGCGGAAGACTCAGCCTTCTGAACTGTGATTATCTAGGTGAAGTGTAATATTGCATAAAGACTGTGGAAAGTAGTGGAGTAACTAATACGAGGCGGAATAGGAGCCGGGAAAGCGAGAAGTGTGAGCTGTTGAGAGGAAACGCCAGAAAACCGATAGGCCGATAGCAATCGCGCCTGAGGACTTTGAAATACGCGTCGGCGTGCCGCATAGGAAGAGGGGCGAAAAGAGAAGCAGAGGCGAGGATTCCGGTGCCGGGCGTGGTCAAGCGGCGAGACGAAAAAAGATTGGACATGGATAAGGTGGCAGGAGAGGGAGAAGGCGTTTCGAGCGACATTGCGAACGGCTGGTCTGTGAGAGAACGAGGCTACGGTGCAGCCGGAATTGGGCCAAGGTCAAACGACGGCTACGCCGAACGCTTTGCAAGCTGCGCATTGAGCACCCATCAAAGTAACAGACATTTTTTAAAACGATTAAGAGCCGACAGACTCGAACGTTAACGTAGCAGCAGAAAGGCTGGGATTGTAAATTTGCATATTCACGTAAAATCTATATAACCGCAAAGCAATTGAAAGAACCTTGTACGCCGGTAATACAGTTCATTCTAATGTTTCGAGAAACACTCTGTTAATATAAGTCCCTGAATTGTGTGTAATCATGAGGAGAATTTAACTGTAATTAATTGTAGTAAGTATGCCTTTCAATATCGTGTTCTGCTTAAAACCTAAGATTCTGTGTAGAAAGGGAATATAATTTTGTTGCACTCCTCAGTCATAGGGAGTTAATATTTGTTGTTTAAACGGTGCTGGCCAAGCAAGAGTTACCGTGCACGGGTATTTGTTGTAACATAGTACTGAATTGGGAAGTAATACTTGACCCACAGAAGTAAACAATAACCATTTTTAAAGGGTGTGAACTGTATTTTTTTGTATTCGTATTGAATATTTATGTGCAATTTGATATTTGGAATTTTATTGTATTCTTCGTGAGTGCTGATATGTGTTACATTTTGGAGAATATACGGTTTTTTTTACCTAATTCTGTGTCTGCATGGAAATCTTTCTCATTCCCCAAAAGATCCTCCTACTTGAGATTACAAAGCTCGGTCAGAGCATTCTTTCTAGCGACGGCAACTACGATTGTAGCGTTAGAATATGTAGTTAACAATTCTAAAGTGAGATGGTAAAACTATGTCAAATCCTTGATTTAATATCAGCTTTAAAAGGAAATGAATGTTATGTTGTTTTGCATTTTCTCTCTAATAGCTGTGGAGACACCGTCATGTTGATTAATGTGTCGTCAGCAACGAAAAGGGTTGACATTTGTTTTGAAAATTGGGCAATGAAATCTATTTCCGTGTAACTAATCAGAAATATTGTTACCTTGCCCCGATCATACGTTGAAACCCAAAAAACCACAACTGTATTTCTTTCGTTATCAACTGATGACCGGACGAAGAGCATCAAGAATCTTTTCCAATTTTTTACCAAGAAAGTAAAATTGTAATTTATTTAAAGTAAATTTATTTATAGTGTAGTAAATTCCTTTTGAATCTTCCTAAATATACTTGAATTTTTCTTTGATCCGTTCAAACTGCAAATTTTAATAAATTTATTTATTCACAAATTTCCTTTTTCACGAACACACCTTTTTTCATTTCCTCTTGTCTCAATTGACATAATATTACATATTTGCATCAAGAAATGGAAGGAGAAATGAAGTTCTAAATCCTGTTTTATTCACATGTCTTTAATTCTGCGATTTACAGAATACAGCCAAATAAAGGTTTAAATAATCCAATTTAACTTAATTCACGCACCATAAAAGTGCGCGTTTGCTATATACAATCGACTCATTATTTGGAACCAGATCATTCAACATTTTGAACAGAAACTTATTCTGTTTGAAATTCCTATTCACAATAATATTAAAACATCTTATTTAAATGGTATTCTCCCATTTTTATCAGAAATTTGAAGTTAGCATTTGATTTCTTTGAAGTTTAATTGAATCACGAGCAAGTGCCTGTGATTTAAATAATTAAAACGGAAGATTTTATTACTAACATAAAAATAAACAAATCCGAAGAAGAATAAGGATTTCGATTTATAATGATCTTCATTAATTATCAGCTAATTTTGTCACTCGGATACTTAATTTTCTGTAGAAAAAAGGTTCATTTCTTGTTCCATAAGACAATGCAAAAAATGCGGTATTGTTGAAAATGCATACCAATGGATGTCCATTGTTTTTTTCTGTATGAAGTTGGTTTTATTAGTTTCTTTTAACTAAGCATGTTTCTTTAGATTTGAACTTTCGGAAATTTGAACATGAATCTGGAGTTTAAATTATAAAGAGACGCCTGGATATATCTAAACACATCATAAGCAAATTAATAAATGAGTCTGATTAAAGTATATGATTTAAATTAATTTCAAATTTAGATTCCTCAATACTGGTTTAATCAGCTTCCGGCGTCCAAACACATGTGATGCAGCAAGCTATAAGAATGCGCTGCCAGAGAGGGCGCACTGGATTATAATCTTCTGGTTCTCTTTGCAAAGTAATTTCTCCTGGTTCATATTCCTCTCTTTTATCTTCACTCTGAAATAATAACAATATATTAGTTTAGTGAATTTGTGTTCTTATCACTGAATATTGAGGTAAGATTTATTATTTAGAAACATATGTATTTAAATTTGAAATATGCAGCACCTTTCCCGTTGTAAATAGTAAATTCTAGTACACAGAAGTGAACAATTCCCATTATTAATGTTGTTAGTACCTCCTCTCAATAATCCAAATATGTGTAATAAAAGTGAGAGGGCAGGATTCAAGAGATCAAGAAAACGTGCGTAGACTGCACTTCGCTGCCTCTCACATGTGATGTATATCAAAGGTTTTACGTTTATTGATGAAAAATAAATACATATTTAAACACTCATTTATTGAAAATAAATTGTAGGTGTAATAAATAATACATTTGATATTATTTGACAGAATATCCATTCTAAAGCTAAACATGTATATTAAGTACATTTACATCTAAACTTGCATTACTAGTAATGTCTATTCTTCTCTTCCATCCATCCGCTGGTTGTGCTAACTACCTTTTTTGTTTTTTTTATTTATTTACTTCAAACACCAGTTAAAAACTGTGTATGACGTACTATGGGGGGAAGTTAATTTGAAGTTACATCTATGTGATTCATACGATTTTTCCTAAAGCCAACGATCGTTCTCGCAGAACTCCCTTCGAATTGGTAGAGATACTTTTTACTTTGGCTATTTTAACCAATACCAATTTCAGAAATTCTTTAAAAAAATAGAATTTTTTTTTGTTTTGGTTCGCATAGACCAAAGTACGTTTGTAAACATTATATAAGTTCAATTTTTTCTAAGCAAAACAACTGAAATTTTGAAGGTTGCAAACATTATTGTTTTAAAAAATATCCTACACTTTCAGTTTTAAAAACTGATATTAATTCCTTAATGTAATTAATGCTTCAATATTTGATTGATCTTTACATTCTTTCATGTAATCTTTTTTGGAAAATTCAGTAGTTTTTGCGTAGTTTTGAGTGCAATTGTAAAAATGTTTGACAAGTACGTAAAGAAGATATACTTGAAGTGTTTTTCATTAATAATTTTTAATGATGGAGCTCTACACACGAAAATATGGCGTATGTACCATTTTCAATAAAATTTTGTATTTTGAAACATTTTAGATATGGATATTTTTGATGTATCTGAGGGAAGGAACACATAGTGGGGAGGTAATGATTAGCGTGTGGAACGAAGACACCTACGTGCCCTAGATCAAATTATCGCCCCAACCAATATTTTCGAGTTGGAAACTACTCTGAAGCGTGTATTAGGCAAATAAATTAATACCAAAGTGAAATAATCCGGTGCTCCGCGAAACCGTACGCATTCGTGTTGAAATTTGCGTAATTTTGTCACGTGTTCAACAAATATATTTTTACGTAACCATTGGGAATAATAGGTGCTGTGACACAAATTGTGATATAAATAATACTTTGTTAACAACATTATTTTTTTTAAAATGTTTCAGGAATATGCGACAGGTCATTGCGGGACATTCTTCATTTATTGTCCGTTTCCACTGATAAACCTCGTTATGTTCCTGTGAATGTTCCGAAATAGAAGTTTCAATATCGACTCTTCCACATCTTTTTCACACTGATCAAAGTCTAACTAGCTATTTTTTGTTTCATGGCTCTCCATTTCTTCAAGTGTCCCAGAGGAGAAACAGACTACGGTCAGGGGCTCGGGAATCGATACTAAGGATTGGAAAGATAGATATTATAGTGGATGTAGGGTAATACGGAACAACCTCGATCGAGTAAGATTCTCTATATGAATGTAAAGATATAAAGATAATGGTGCTATACCACCACATGCTTTCTTATATTATTTGTTATTGATACATGATATAACTCCAAATTCTATTTTGCTAATTCCAATCACCTTATAAAAAACTCTTCAGTCAAAGATGTGCAGGAGAATGAAAATAAGATTTGAAAATTTTGAATGGTCATACGGTTTAAAATAAAACGAATTTACGTTTTATGCACTTCGGGGGGGGGATAGAAAAACAACTTTCTCCTGAGAATGATGGGAATCAAACAACGGCCATCAAATTAGAAATCGTAGCCCGATTCCTTTTCACCTACGGATCCGCTGCACTATAGCAATCTGCATTACCAATTTTTAATTCACACTAAAAGTGAAAGATGAGTAGAGGTGCTACAACAGCAAACATTTTTCGCATTATTTCTAAATTTGCAAAATTTTCAAAAATTCGAACAGTTAAGCGAAAATTAGACCCGTACCATTCTTTAAAGCGTCCCTTGTTAAATCCGTGGAAAATGTTTAAGAAAAAAATTGAGCGGTTTTTGGGAAAATGTTTTCTGTTAATTTCATCCAAAAATTACATGAAAACTAATAGTTTATTTAAAAAATTGTACGACCTTTTTTTAAGACGCTTATTTTTGGTACCAATATTGTTTAAGGCAAAATCTCTTATCTTCAACTTAATTGTTTTGAAATGTTAACTTCTTGAAATTTTCGAAAATATGAGTTTGCTAGTAGTGGAGCTAGCACCACGTTTTTTACTTTCCATTGATACAAATGAGGAAACAATTTAAAAAAACAGAAGTTTTTTATATATTTTTAATTTTAAAAATTGCCTAAATTTTATGCGAAATTACGCGACTACTAGTAACATATTTGTGAAAAATTGTACATTAAATTATTTCTAGATCTCTCTTTAAAGAACTGATTTAATTAAGCACGAAAAACCTTTTCTTCAACATTGTAGTTCAAGGAAGACGCTGAAATGAATTGAACTTTATCAACATTCAAAAAATCTGGTATTTCAACAAAAAGTAGGACCTGCATAATTTTCAGCGCCCTCTCCGCAATCCAGGTGGATAGTTTAAAAAAAGTTGGAGCCATTTTTTAGAAAATTTTAAAAATGTTGAATATTTACCTCCAAAAATCAAAGTATCTGTTTCATACTCAGAGGATCTTAAGTTCGTTTAATCGTTGGAGCAACGTCAATTTTGGAGAAAATCAGCTAAACAATTTTGACGCTAGCGTTGACCACAGACGGACGGACGGACGGACGGAGAGAGCTGTTTTGCCGACAATTGAGTTCTCAGCATCAAGGACCCACAAAACATGGACACAGACTGCACAATGTGTACTCTTTGGTGAGACCAAGTTTTCGACCAGACAGTGCCGCGTCGTACTGGGTTGACGATTAGGGAGCTCAGACGTCAAGAAACGTTCCGCGACTATTATTATTATTAATTATTATTATTATTATTATTATTATTATTATTATTAACTTGATTGGCCACATTGGACCACTTGAGTCGTTCCACTTCACTTTTTACTGTTCATGGTCGACTGTCGAAGGTTTTTCACCTTGAGGTGAGGATAAATCCTCGAGTTACAATACTGAATGTTATTCAGAAAGGTGATCATTAGAGATGGAGGATGATGGATGATAGGGGGTGAAAGGACGAACACAATACAACCATGCCCGAGGCGGAACTCGAACCCGCGATCTTTCGGTACGAGATCGCTACGGCACTACTCCCTTAGCGATCTCGGCCACCGGATCTGCCGTAGTATATATATGAATTAGATTTTTCCAGATTTTCGTTCACCGGGTTCCGACAATAAGTCTTTCTGCCGAAAATTTGCGGTTTTCCGGAGCACGATTAGAATACTTTCTCATCTTATAAAGTAAGGCTGAGAAAATCAAATAGACACTTTTCCCAGCAGAATTACATAATTTTCTTGTATAGTACACACTAGAAAGTAAGATAGTTGTATCTATTCACACAGCGAAAAAGGCGAAATCTTACAACGAGTTCTTTGAAATGAAATAATTATTGGTATCATTTTGTTTCCTTTTGTACTAACCTCATTTGCATTGAAACTAGATTCGTAGACAGGGTTGCTGAATTCGCAGACAACTGTTGCCGGTGGCACTTTTCGTGTTGATGGTTGGTTATCCTCTGCTCTGAGCTGAAAGAAAATAATTGAGTCGTTTCCTCAGAGATAGTCGCAAACCTCACATCTATGAAATTAGAAATATTTCCTTAGAACCATAGATCATTAGTTGATTGTGTAATATCTACTTGTATAATGAGACAGTTTGCTGCCGTTTCGTGATTGATTGTGAAATTATAAGTTTTTTTATGGGTAACAGTACAAGCAACTACTGTGGCAACACCAAGAAAAAATATTTTACAAACAATAATTAACTTGATGAAACTGACGAAAGTGGTAGAGATAATGAATTTCTGTTAAATGATGGAAGTTGGAGATGGAAATGATGGTGCGAGAAACAAGTTAAGAGAGGTGAAGTTGAGGTGGGAAGCTGCCTAGTATAGTACTTGCAGACGTGAAATCTAAATGCAGTACATCTTTACATCACTAGTGAAAACTGTGAAGTGAAAAATAAAAATTGGTTAATAGCTGCCCTGGAGCGAGCAAGGCTAGAATTTTGGAGACTTGGTCCATTCTCGTCATGTGGTGAGCGCCTAAACCGTTCAGACGATTTTCTCCAAAAATTCGGATATTCCCCCACCGATTTGAAACAACTTGAGTATCTACGAGTTTGAAACGGATATTTTGATTGCGGAGAAGTACTTAAACCTGACGCATCAAATTCATAAAAAAATGGCTCCACATTTTTGAGTAAATGTTTTGTTAAGGTAGAATAAATGAATTACAAGGAAATCAGAATAAATTTAGCATTTCAAAGTAAGTTTTGAAGTAATGATTGTTTTATAGATTGTTCAGTCTTAGAATCTGCTTTTTAAAAAATGAAATTTGTTTGAAAATATTTTTACAAAATTTGAATTGGGAATTATATTTTTTGAAAAAACATGTATTGCGGAGGAAAAATATTTTAAACCATGATAAATTTTCATTTTACAAAATTCGAACTCTGAAGGCATTACGTAATTAAAATGTAAAAAAATATATTTTGTATTGTAGAAATAGTTAGAGGTTGGGATGATGGATATTACTGTGAAAATATGTATTGATGCAACAAGGGCGTTAGAAAGATTTTTATGATTGAGCGGCCACAAAGAGCTCGAAGGTCAGGCTCTCAGGCTTTTTTTATACTGAATTTTCACCACATTGGGCAGACTATTATATACTATTAAAATTGAAGCAGTATACATGATTACATCTTAAAAACAACTAGAAATTATTGAAAAGACATTGGATAGATCACCAATTTAGGATGTAGGCAGTGATACTGAGACATTGTCTTTATGGTCAATGTACACCTCTTAAGAATATTTGTTAAGGGGGTTACCACGCCAACTCCTACGGAACTCAGTACGACTGTGCACAGAAATGCTAATTATCAATCTATGTGGTATGCAATTTATGTAACTTTAATACATGCTATGTTCAAGTGTAAGGATTCAAAATTATATTTAATGTTACGAAATATTATTCTTAGGTTAAATATCTCAGTCCTGAGGAAGGCCACAACCAAGTCGGCTAAAACGTTGACACTTTTTCGATAATTTCTAGTTGTTTTTGAAATGTAATTATTTGTTATGGTTTAACTTTAATTGTATGAAATAGTCTGCTCAATGTGGTTAAATTTCAATGTAAAAAGTAAAATATAAAAAGTAAAATATAAAAAGCAGATATATAATAACCAATAAGATCTCGGATATTTTGTCGCCACTCGATTATTAAAACTAGTTAATGCCAATGGTATATACAAAATTTTATTCTTTACTCAATTTTAATTATTCAAATGTACCCATTTACTAATTAACTAACTTAATTAACTTCACTAGGTTTAAGAGAAATTTAGCCATTCAATGCCAATTAGATCACGACTTGCCAGCGCGAAAAATTTCTCTTATATTGACTCAGACCGTGAAAGCCTACGATGTTATGTTGACAAGGTTTGTAATTTCTTGATTTTCATCCATATTTGATATTTCACTTCCATAATTCCATTTCAAAATTACCTCTCACAATTACTTTCATAAAGACATGTCATTCAACTATTTTCATATCGTATTCCCCGTAATCATGATCCTTCCATTCCAAGTAAGTTTCAAAGCATATATCGAGCTCTGTATCGAAGGCAATAACAAGCTGTAACGAATCAGTAATAAATAAAATTAATTTACGACAGAATGATTGTTCAAAACATTTTAAATAAACTAAAGAATCTACTTATAAAGACAGTTAAGTTTATATTTTAAAAACCCCGTAATTTTATAATAAACCCTATTTTAAAAACGCAGTGATTTTTTTAGGTACACCATATATTTTTTTATTAGCCCAGCATAATGTTTTGACGATGTTGATTCTTATCATCAGGAAAATATTTTTAATTTTTCAAAAATATAACTAGTTGTGTATATCGTTCTCACATTATTGGTTTTACAAATATTGTACTCTAAAAGTAAATAGAAAAAGAAAACTGGTTTAAAAATACAATTTTTCAGAAGATTTAAGTTTACAAGAAGTGTGTATACATTAGAGAAACATAACCCGTGCACCGAAAAACGGAGATTTTAGGCAGAAAAACTCTTACAGCCTGATAACGAAAAAGTGGATTGATCCTGTTACTATATATAGTAAATTACTTCCTCTAACATTTGATGTATCCAGAATTCATGTTTGTGGGTTCTTGGCACAGAAAAATCGATTAAATGGAAAACGTCTGTCTGTGATCAACGCTAGCGCCTAAATCGTGCAGCAGAATTTTTCCAAAATTGATATTCCCCTATATACCTGAAGCTACTCGAGGCTTTGGAATTTTCAGTCGGATATTTTGATTTTTGAGGGAACTTTACACGAAGCCTCAAAAACTATTTCAAAGTTTTCTAAAACATGGCACCAAATGATCCCATTACACTTTGTCCTCGCATAGACTAAGGGCCTTTAAGAGAATGATGAACGTCTCGTGCTCGTTGAAATACCAGATTTCTTTTTAAATTACAAAAGTGCTTGAAAAACTTAAAAGATTGCCGAGGGTCTCATTTCCGTTGAACTCTCTGAATGTTTGAAACTTTCAAATTTAGAATTAATATGAGAAAGTATGTGATGTTGGAACGCCACTAGTTCATTAAGAAAACCGCTATCTTCTTCACTACACAGTCTGACACTTTTACAAAATAAAGAAAATGCTACAACTTCTGTCAGTTACCCCAAACGCCTACTGAAAATTGGATGAGTAGCTTGGGCAAAACATTGTTGCATAACTGAATCTCACAAAAACGTGAACCTCCCATATTTAATTGCAGTATTTGTATTTCCAGTTGTTTCCGTAAAGCATATATCTTTTTCGAGAAAACATTTTGCAAATATCCGTATGGTTTTCTCAAATGCTCCAAGCGTTTGCCAGCGAACGATGAACGATAGATTTTCTCTCAACAGAATTCAATCGGATCAACTCGGTGAATTCTAATAATGTTGAAGAAATATATTTTTGACTGTAAAGAGAACCATTTTGAAGAATGAGGATCGCCACTACTTTTTAACTTATTTATTTGCAGTCCTTAATTTGCAACTTTTTACGTTGCTCCGTGCAATATTTGAATATAGAAAATTTTAATTTAAAATTGTTTAAATCCTGTTTGACTTTTTCTAATCATTTTACCGATATTAAACGTTTCTTACACTTTATAAAATGTTAAGAATTGTTTAATTCTATTTTTCGCAATATCTTGTATTCAAAATATTTGTAAACATGTGCCTAAGATTAAGTTTAAAAGCATTTAGTAAATTGATTTTCGATGAAAAAAGTCAATATTTCTAAATCTTACAAGATTATTGTAAGTATATTACAAGTTTTAAAACAGAAAACAAACAAGAATTTTGCAGTAAAACTTTTCCGTTAACCTCTAGCTTTCTATGGGAATCGAAAGAAATGTGAATATCTCTAAAGAAATCAAGATTATTTGCGAAACAATCGACATACTCTAATATTACGGTATAATGTACGACATACCCTAATGTTAGGCAGACAAAATTGTAATTTAACTTATTACTGTGGACGTTCCTGTGAACTTACAGTACCTGTCGTATCATCAGAAACAAACAAGCTGGTAATTTGTGCAAATTTTTATCAGTTTATGCTTTTTTCGAGAAATAAGTGGCTTAGGGTATAGATAATAGTTTGTGTTTATATTCTGAGCAAATATATTCTTAAGAACATATGCACAACTGAGTCAATATACTGGAAAGTATATATAGTTTCTGAAAAGTTTTAAATATATTGCATTTTTCTCACTTTTTAAAAAGTTTTAGGACTTTACAGGCCAACTTTACTGTTATTATAAAAGGGTGAAACTTTGAATAGTCTCTTTCAGGGACAGAAAGAAAGAAATAGTCTCTGGGGAACGATGTTTTTAACAGAAACATCTTTTTTAAGACACCCTAACCTATTGTGACACCACCAATAATCCCTTCCTCGACTATAGCGAAGCAACAGACATGAATATTAAGTTGATAAATACTCTTACACTGTGATAAATATGCTACAATGAAAAAAGTTTTCAATTTCTTACCATGTTTTGAAAAATTGAACTGTGCTGACTTAATAAGATGACGTTTGAGCAACCACGAACTTGTTTCTTCACTTTGTTCTCTGGAAAACTAGTTTCCTGAAACAGAAGTATCAATCAGTTTATAAATTTCAAAATAAACGTGTTTTTATCTGTCGAGATCTTACTGTATGGGAACTTCGTACCCAAAGATGTAACGCGTAATACTTGGAGTAGCCTACGTAATGTGTTAACAACGTTACTATTTTGCTGCCTTATTAAATAGAAAGCAAGGATGTATCGAACAGATGATAGACGGCTCATGTTGGTGCTCTCTGGATAGGGCAGAGTGAAGCTCTCCCCAGTCGCTATGACAGTCGTTGACAAAACACTATAGTAACTATAGTGATGTTTAAGCTCTTGATGGGATGACGGCGTCACAGCTGACAAGTGTCAACGGACTTAAAGTTTTAATGGAACAACTGCATAAAATTGCATTCATAGGTTCAAAAGGGTATCAGAATTATTTTTTATAGGTATGTATCAGAAATACGATGTTTGAAAAAATACTTGTGTAAACTTCGCAATTCGTATTGTTAGAATATGTTAGAAAAGTTACATAATTTTTTTGTTACCCTTCATTTCTTTATCGTTACTAAAAAAAGGGTGTTTTCGTTAGGGGGTTTGTGTCTATGAGAAGGAAGGATTGGACATAACCTCGAGTGAGAGGTTATGTTGGAAATATTTTGTACCTTCCTGTTTCAGACAAAAGTCTCGTAATGATACGCCTTAGATAACTGTATTGTATGTATGGGACAATTTTTGCCTAAACAGTGAACAAAATGTCGAAAGTTCGGAAATCATGCATATAATTACATATATTATTTTTTTGAGAAGTGAGCTTTCTCATAGTCACATAGAAAAAGATACTGGGGACATTGCAAGAAAAGCGAATTATTTCATTAATATCAATTGGAAAAGAATTTGCGAGTATTCATGTGGATGAGTGGTCCGTGATCTCTCACTGAATGTCTACATTAATAAGTGTTGATCTGATGACATAGAAGTGTAAAAAGAAGATAATGAGACGTAAATTATTTGAAAAATTTGAAATTAACATTTCCAATTGATATAAATTTCACTAATCATGTCAGATATTTTATTTAAAGAAGCTTCAAAAGCACTTCACTTGTGTAAATCGTGTATGAAAATTTCTCACTGGCATTGTTTAAATGTTTTTCTTTATTTCTATTATTGTTTGTATTAATTCTGAATTATTTGAATGGTGTACTACTTAGTGAGTACAGCAAGTCACATGCATAAAATGAAATGCAGAATACAAAGAATGATCATAGAACAATTCAGCTACTCAAGGCCATAGTGGATAAGAAAGAATGCACTTCTTAAAAGGCAGGGTTGAGTTAATTAGAATATTCCTTATTTTAAACCATATTCCTTATTTTAAACCAAGTATTATTACATTTTGATGAAAAATTTATTTGTGGAAAGGACGATTGAGTTAGTAGTGTGGAACGAGGAAAAGAAGAAGTTATAAGAACTCCGTGCACACATTCGGTTATAATTCATTCCAAAATAATATAGAATGGAAGCGCGTTAGACCAGTAGCGTAATGAAGTGAGTGCGGGCCCGCCCACAAAACTCTTTTCCGAGTCCCCTTTTTAAAAGTGTACAGCAACCACAAGTAGTGTTAGTACCTCAAATAATAAAAACATCCTTTAAAAAATTCATATTCATCAGTCTCTAATTACTACATAAGAAATTAATGTTACTAACAGATTATAACAGGCCCTCTTTTACCTGGGCCCGCTCGCATTGCAGGCATTGCGGACCCGAACGTCACGTAGCTCCCTTCGTGAACACAATAGCATTAACATTATGTCTTACGTGTCAGTGTGTAACATTGCGTCAAAGGCCAAACAACTTCGTTTTGTGCATTAGCCTTTAAATAATCCAAGAGAATACTCCATATACATTCACCGGTAATGTAGGAGTCCTTAACAATAAGTTTGTGTGTGAAGTTGCAAGTGTTGTTTTCTTGGTATTTGAAAAGCTGGAAGTCAAAAACTTTGAATGAAGGGAGGAATAGTTTGCGCGCCATAATGCATTAAAAATACAGAGGAAGCGATTCCAGGAATGTTTGGAACATGTAAAATAAGCATAATATTTTGACGATTTTTCTTTTACCAGAACAAAGTATTTAAGCGTACATGAATATTAGCATCTTCTTTCAACAACTTTGGCTTTTATTTACACATTTTGAAAATATTGGGGGCCATACCAACAGCAAATGTGTGTGTGTGTGTGTGTGTGTGTGGCGGGGGTATTTCATACATCATTACTGTTATTGTATAGTGACGTTCACAATGACGGTGAGGTGTAAATCTCACGTATCTGGGTGTGAACATGTATATGATTCAACGGTATTACCCCATACGTTACGCTCGTCGTTCATTGCTGTTCCGATTTCAATCCATTTAAAGAATTTGTTTCAACTCGAGCACGAACCTCAGTGCTAGAGAAGCGCCGACTCTTTTGCCAAAATCTTTTTCATTTCGTTCCAGAAGACATTACCTTTAACAAGGTTGTGCTATTTCAAGACCAATTAGTTGTCCTCAAGCGTGCACCGTAGACGCAGTGAGCGGAATTCCTAAATGCGATGGACTTCAGCTCTATTGAAACAGATCCCACGGAAGTCGCTCCTCTCGCTTCTGCACAGGTGGTCATTGAAAGGCGATAGTCCACGTTGAAATGTCTAAGGTAGAGTCATTACCGGCATTATTCTTATCAACATAACAGTGTAGGCTGAGAGCCTATTAGCTGACTGTTCTTTGTTTATTTTAGGTCACTTTAACCTCTTGGTCTTTTGGTCGACTCCCAATTTCCTAGCTTTTCTCCCTTCTGTGTTGGATCCTGGGACATACCATTTCGTCGCTCTTCCACGTTTCTCCTGTAACTTGGAGTGATGGAAACTTTCCCCGCCGTGGCTGCCAGAGATATCGTGTTCGATTAACGGGGATGAGGATATACAGTGGGTATTGAAGGAAGAGGGTTGACAGGCGATACATGGTGGTTGGGATAACTGCACCACACCACACCACAACACAAGCAAACAACCATGCGCGAGGTGGTGTTCAAACCGGGGACTCCGGGAGATGTGACTAAGGATATGTACTGTTGTACTGCAGTGCCCCTATCTGGGAAGTCCTAGGTTCGAGTGCCGACGCTGGCAGGATTTTGACACTAGCTAGACAGCTATAGATGTAGGTCGAATTCAGCCGCTATCTGGAGAATTCTAGCGACCAGCTGCTCTCATCGGTAGCTCTCTCGGATCAATGCCAGGCGAATGTCTTGTCCTTGCTACCATGCTTAAATCTTGTCCTGGCTGGGGCTGTGCACTGTTGGAGGGATATACCAGCTTGGATAAAATTTGCTAGCTGACGGGTAGGTCGGCGCCGGATCTCACCATCTAACGGCGGAAGATCATCGCCTCTTCCCGAGGTAAAAATGCACTAGATTTACATGGCTAATGACCTTAGCAGTTGACGCGACCGCAATCACTAATAAATCAATCAAACCCGGGACACTCCAAGGGCCAAGAGCGACGCAACAGTATGTACGATTTCTGCCATCCATGCCACACAGACGGTGTTTTAAGTTTCTTTCTTTAAAGTCGTATGTGACATTGTAAGAATTGTGCAACGTTTTCGTATGTTTGTCTCTATAGAAACCTATAACAGTTAAGCAAAACAAGGGATGGTTAACGTTTATCAACTATTAGTTCGTGGACAAAAATAAATATTTCATGGGCACCTTTTATATGTTTGAAATTGTGCCCTGTTGGTCCAAACTAGAAATTATTTAGCGTTGGGTTATATTTATTTTTATATATTGCTTACAACTGCAAAACGAACAGACGAAGAGCAAACTGTAACCGAAGAATAATTTTGAGAAAAATAATTAAAATTTCAAATAAAAAATGTTTATTTTAGAAATCCTAGAAACTTGTCTCGTCAGAGATTGAAGAGATTTTGCAAGGCTGTTTCAATACGATCGTGTGCAAAAATGCCTCCCTTATTCTGAGCATAAAAATCCAAGTGTTTCGCATGAAAATTAAAAGCCGGTCTGAAAACGGAAAAATTACAAATTTGTTGCCCGATCTCATAACTATCATTAATAAAATTCAAACAAAAACTTTGAGCGTTCATTTCTTATTAATGTGTGTGAGGATTCATTTCATATATTTACTCATCTGTTTTAATTTAATTTGATTTTATTATTCAATTTACTATTCATAAAAAACAGTAAAACTATATGTGACGTATGGGGTAAAAGTATTAACCGCGCATGTTTTCTTCAGCTCCAGAACCCCTTCCCCGCACTTTTACTACACATTGTTGAAAAATGAAAACAAGTATGAATGAAACGACGAATGCCTAATGTAAGGCCAATAAGGCAAGGTAGACAGCGTTATAAAGTTAGAAAAGTTCGCACCGAAAAACTTAATTTAAAGGATATTACATGATCCGTTTTGCAAAACCTGATTGATAAGTTGAATCTAAATACGTAATGGACTACTGGAACTGTGTTGGTAATAACAGTGATAATTATGATACTATATTTTTTTTATTTTATGTTATTCCAATTTTTAAATTGGAGGGCAATACTCATTTCTGAACACTTCAGAATCGCGTTAATTAGTTGTGCGGCTTACTGCATCATTCGGAACATGGAAATGATGAATCACAGAAATGCCAACAATTCGAGGTATACCAACAGCTTTGTCAGAAATCACACGTGTTATTAATTTTATTTCTACAGTTTTAAGTACGATCCCTAAGGAAAGGAAGCTTGTAGGTACTGGAGATGATTTTCACGGCCGAATGGACACGTTTTTATTTCATTATCTTAACAAATAAATTGGTTGCCTTTACGAATTGTAGAGTTATTATGACACAATCGAGAACTCTGTAGTCACAAAACCAGAATCTTAGGAAACGGTTCCTTGGAGGTCACGAAACACTGTGATCATTGTTTAAGAAACTTCGCGCGACGCATGGCTTATCTGCGCTTGAGAACAAAGGCAATAATTTACTTTCAGGCTTTCCAAGAATGCGAGTTTTATTCCAACACGCGCACAGATATTAGTTCCAGCGCCAATAAGTAGTTCCAGAAATCAATCAATACTTACGGTACTGACAAATAAAACTAATTAAAATTTGAAGAGTTGTAAAGTTATATAAGGAAGCAAGTTCTTGTAAATTTTGT